TCTTACGGAATCAAAGATACGTCACGCTACAGGTCCTACTTGCACATCTGCACGCTACGGATGCAACGTTGGTAACATGTCTGCACGCTTTGGATGCTACGTTGATAACATGTCTGCACGCCACGGTTGCTACGTTGCTAACATGTCTGCACGCCACGGTTGCTACGTTGATAACATGTCTGCACGCCACAGTTGCTATGTTGGTAACATGTCTGCACGCCACGGTTGCTACGTTGGTGACATGTCTGCACGCCACGGTTGCTACGTTGGTTGCACGTCTGCACGCCGTGGCTTGGCAAAAAACTTGGGAAACTTGAATGCAAAGACTTTCTTGCAGCATCTAACAAAAGTTGATGAAGATCCGACTAGTTTACTCGTATTTTGCAGAAGAGAAAAAAGGCACCTTTGCAAATATTGAACTCACACGACAAGTAAAAACCCATGTAATTGCGATGATTTGAGTGCGACTTACACATCACCGAAATGTCATTTTGACTCACGGCGAAATATGAGCCGTGAACTAGTTACTATACATACCATGGCCGGGGGGCCCCTCGTCTGAGGGGTTTGTGACCATTGGTTTTTGTACAGTCTTCGATATGGACGCTCCAATAAGACTCACCTTCTGTAGCCCTTTCCGGAAAGCACTTGAAAATCTGAGAGCCCTCAAAGTGTGGGCCGTTGACCTGCACAAAGGTTGTAATTTACAACTACATAAAATCAAATTCGTTCACTTCGTGGGATGTAAGCTGGAAACTAGCAAGACCTAGCGCAAGCCTGCGTAAGAATATAAGGTAAGTCAATCCAGACAATGTCCAGCATTCACATTTTTTGGTGGTGCTATCACATCCACCCTCCCTGAAAATGATAATTAATTTTGATCACCAGGCAAGTTTTCGGATGGAACATATGGAACAGACAAGAAAAACTTCCGAAAAAAATCGCCAAAGCTCTGTTGCAATCGTCCCGCTCTCCAGAATACTTCTCCATGCGGTAGATTTTGGTGATTGCAAACAAGGCCTGAGCCATTGTTTCATGGACAGCATCAAGAAGTGCAACTTCGTTTTATTTTGGAATGCTGCAATGTCACCAATGCATACTGGCAATTGGCAGTTGGCTCATAGATGTTCATAGAAAACAACCAAAAAATCGACAACTTTTGCCACCGCCCCAGCAGCGGCCCATTTTACTTCCAAGCTTTGGCCGATCAGCGGATCCGGGACTGACGGTTGTGACTCAGCCGATCCGTTGGATCAAATGGACCCCGCGGCTGGTGACGACCAAGTCGCCAAACTCATTGAGACCCAGCGCCTGATGACCCGTGTTATGGACAAAGCCCCATGACCCGAGGTGGAGAATCATGACACATCAAGTAGGGGTGAAGGGTTGGAGTACCACTATCACTTTCATTTCAGGGTGTGCCGTTTTTACATGTCTACAAGTTGAACTTGAACGATCGACAAGCAGTTGGCAATTGGTTAGTTTTCAAAGGACCCACAACTTTTTGCATCATCCCCGTGAACCGAATGCTTCAAACATGCTGGAAGCAAACCTTTACCTGTCACGCACAATCATAAATTCGAAAACACCAAAAAAATCACAGAAAATCATCATCCAATCCCATCCCATGGCATCCTCCCAGTCCCCAAATCCCATCAGATCCCAGGCGCAAAAGCCGCTTCCTCCATGGCAGGTTCCTGTTCGCCCCTGGCCACCCACCCCATGTGCCCAGCCAGCGTCCCAGGCTGCTCCGCTGAAGCACAGTCGCTGTGCTCGCGGCAAAGTTTCACGAAACTGTTTGGTTCCTTAGAGGTGCAGCTGCTGGATGGGTGACCCTGCTGAGTGACCCCTCCAACAAGGCATATTAATATTAAGGGTCTTTTCAACCACTGACAGGTTATAAGGGCTGATTGACTGATCACCTAGCAGCTTTTGCTTTTTAGTAAGTAGCATGCTTCATTGCTGGAGGGCAACCTTATTGGTATGTCTGAAGGACAACTAAAATTTGGCAGGGGAACAGAATACACACACAAATCTATGTTTCCCTCTCTCTGCACCTACATGTATGTGGATACACATATCATGATGCTATTGAAATTGTTTTTTTTGGGATTTTCGTTTCCAAACAACACCAAATCCTCAAATAGGTTATATCAAGTTAAATTATCCCAATGTATCCCATGATATCCCCATAATTATTGTGTATACCCAATCGGTACTCCTCACATGGACTTGGATATGTCCCCTGGATTTATTACAGAATAAACATCATACAGAATCATACATAAACCAAGTAGGCAAATACATCCCTATAAGAACCAGTCAACGTGTAAGGACCTGTCAACAGGGGCCTAACGTGTACTTTGAAATGTGCCACCATTTCCCCATAAAATTATCCAACTGATGTTTTTTTAATTGTTTCGCATATCATCTTCCTACTTCAAAATGCTTCATATCTAATTATATCACAAATGTTTTCTTCCAAATGCTGTATACCCAGGTTAATCAAACATGGCAACAGGAAATCCCTTATGAATGGGTATGTTGATGGACAATTCATCTGCAAGATCTTTGAAACCATAGTGAAGTGCACCCGTTCTTATTAATATCAAAAAATGAACTCCCGTCACAATATGTTACATCTCAGTAGTTACTATCATCAGCTATCGCATTTTGACCGTAACTCATATCTATATATATATATTATATCTAAATATAAATATATACATAGAGAGAGAGAGATGTAGATGTAGGATAGCCTGCTTGGGGACTTGCCAGCCATGCTTGATACTGCTAATATATCTAAATATTTGCTAATAGGATACCCACTTGGGTTACTAGCCAGTTCCTAACGGTACCAATCGCAATCCCCCAATAGCAAAGCCCAGTAATGCAGGGGTTCATATGGTTGGCAACTAGTTAATATCCCTGGCTAGCAACCTCGACACCTCGGTAGATGATTAACCAATTACTAACTGGGATAATCCCCAATCTCGTTCTGTCTTAATCTATACACCCGTCTAACTGGTCATTATAGTCGCCAAATTTTTTGGTTCGCCTATGTACAAAGCCACTGTTGCAACTGGGGCACAACCTTGGAGTTACCATGGCCTTCGTTTTTTTACCCGGACTTACATCGCCATCTTCCCCGCTATAGTCCCCCGCAATGATCCTCTATTTAGTTGGAATCACTGGAGGTACATCTCCATATGCTGGACCAATTTAAGTATAGATTTCACTTGCAATCTAGAAATCCAATCATATCTCCATTATCAGCTTTGAATGACAATTTTGAACCAGGGTTGTCAACCAGTTACCGACCGAGATGGTCTCTATCAATGGGCTGATTAAAAAGGGAACATGTGTAAAACCATTGGGAATGCTATGCAGAATGAACTTTTATTGGGGATGTGGTCTGTATATATATATATATTTATTTATTTATGTGTAAGTCATGTATTGCGGGCGACCCAACGCCATAAACAACTAACTTTTGGGGATTATATTAACAACCCTATTGATGGTGATGGCTCGGGGATGGTTTATTATTGGCTTGACCCACTTATTTACATTATAAATCAATATTGTTACTTTTATTGCTATCAGTCTTATTTGTTATGATTGCCATCATCGTTATTATTGCTAGAAACACAGAAACAATAATATGCACACTATTTCTACATAGCACCTGGGAATATACATACATACATGCATACATACAGACAGACAAACAAACAAACAAGCAAGCATACATACAAACATACATGCATGCATACATACATACAAACATACTTACATACATACATTAACACATTACATACATTACATACATACATACATGCATACATACATACATACAAGCATGCATACATAAACTACATTAACTACATTACATTACATTACATTCCATTGCATTACATTACATTACATCACATCACATTACATACATACATTACATTACATTACATTACGTTACATTAGATTACACTACATTACATTTCATTACAATACATTTCATACATACCATACATACCATACATACATACATACATACATACATACATACATACATACATACATACATACATACATACATACATACATACATACATAACATACATAACATACATAACATACATAACATACATACATTACATTACATTAAATTACATTAAATTACATTACATCACATTAAATTACATTACATAACATAACATAACATAACATAACATACATGCATGCATGCATACATACATTACATACATACATACATACATACATAAATACATACATACATACATACATACATATATACATACATACATGCATACATACATACATACATACATAACTAACATACATACATACATGCATACATACATACATCCATACATACATACATACATACATGCATGCATGCATGCATACATACATACATACATTCATACATACATACATACATTACACACATAACATACCATAACATCACATCACATAACATAACATACATACATACATATAATTATACATGTGTTCTTCAATGTATGTGTAAATACCGATCTATCTGTTTATCCATCCATCTATGTATCTTATCTTATCATGTCGTGTCCTGTCCTATCCTATCCATTCCGTTCCATTCCATTCCTTCCACCTATCCATCTATCTATATCTAAAACTAAATCTAAACCATATATATATATATATCTATATCTATCTGTCTATCTGCCTATCTATCTATTTATCTATCTAAATATCTGTCTATCTATCTATCCGTCTATCCGTCTATCCATCTATCTATCTATCTAACTATCTATCTATCCATCTATCTTTCTATCTATCGATCGTCTCAAATCAAATCATATCATATCCTATCCTAAATACAGCAATATAGATATCATATACACTAAATGGCTGCTAAATAAATGACACTATATATATATATGCCCGTGTTTGTATATATATATATGTATATATACATATTTAAAAAGCACTACGGATATTAAATGATATCAATACACTTATAGCTTCACACACTAAAGGATGAAACTACCTATCGGAGGTAGGCGGTGATATAACCCCTTCCTGCTGTTACTAACCGTTCCCCCAAATACTCAAAACTAGGGCCTAGGGTCCATGTAAGAGTTTGGGAAATGCGAAGTTGGCCAAGTTTAGTTTTAATTGATCCCCTTTAGAACAATTTAAAATATAAAAGTGAAGGTCGGGTATCAGGGTTTCAACCCCTAATAACAAAAGAGTAGTCAACATGCACCCGGGTGATTTTTATTCGGGTATGTCCTTTAAAATCAAACATGTTAGTTTTTAATTAAGGTTTTTAGATTTAATATGTGATTGTTTGGCAATGGCAATGTGTTAATTAGATTTCCAAAGGAACCTAATCATTTTTGAAATGAAAACACTAGTTTGTTATTTCGTTAAAGATTCAAACGTAGTATTAGGGGGAAGTTTCGCACCGTAATACTAAATACCCCCTAATACTAAAAAAATCCTCCGGGTGTTTATTCTTAGGGGGGCGGTTTAGTATTAGCGGCAAGGGGTAATATATATATATTAATTAAATATATATATATATATTTGTAAATACGGATAGATATACCCACTATTACCCACTATATTGAACAGTATAGAGCTATATACATGTATACATACATGTATATATATCAGCATCACTACTATTATTATATGTTATAAATAGGTAAAACCATTATATTAAATATATATATAGATATAATTAAATCACATATAACATATATAAATATTAATTAATTAAAAAGCATATATATATATATATATTTACACTTATGTATTTATTTGTTTATATATTTACAGATTAGAGCTATCTATCCCGTTTCAACTCCACCTCTCACCTCCCAGGCTCCGCATGGAGCCGCTGCAGCACCTGCAGCGCCTTCGCCTCGGCCTCGCCGCTGCTGCGCGCCGCACCCTCGCGGCGCGCCGCGGGGTCCATGACACGCAGCCTGGGCGCCGGGTTGCCCCGGCGTGGGGGGAGACCCATTAGCTACGAATTAGAAGTCGAAAAGTGTGTCAATATAGAATTAGAAACTATAATTTTAAAGTTGTAGTAAATTGATGTAAATTGCAAAAGTTGTAAATTCCAGTCTAACTTTTATCGGCCATGACGTGGGTTCTTGTGCCATATTCTGCACGGTTTTCTGTACATTGTGCCATCATCCAGTTATTGGGGGTTCAGGTCCACGGCAGATCAATGAGCCAAGTGTTGATCAAGACTATATGGGCCGAAGTCTTGAGAATCGTAACCGTGATGAACTATCAATGTTTTGGGCCTGGGCCATCTCAACCCAGAAATCAATGTACACCTTGGTAGAACATGGCATCGTAACATTTTCAGCACTGCGTTTTGGATGCACAAAGGCTACATGTTACACACCGCCAATCCAACAGTAGTCCCTATCCATTTGTTCTTCGAGTTCTTTGCACCCACCAGGTGCGCCCAGCACTGAAGCAAACGGCAGCTGACTGCTGATGCTTGAAGAGGATGTGTCGCATAAAGATGCTGCGACCTCCTCCTGTTGCAAGAGGGAACCGATACTTGGCTGGTGGTTTCATACCATCAGTGAAATTAACTTTATCATGCCGGGATGTAAATGTGCGAGATGCATGAGGTAGAAGCAAGGAAAAAACACCACGTACATACACTGCACACACACACACTAGAATAGATCTGGATCATTGAAGTGATCCGATGGGAACTGAATCCCATAAAACCTGGACCTAACCTGAGGCCACCAGCTGCGACTTAAATGCGCCCAGGTGCACCACCGAAGTCCTGCGGGTACGTTTTCACGGGTCCCGGGGAGGTGTCTACGTTGGTCACCGACCCCCCGGGACCCCGGTGCACCCGCAATATATGAAAAAGGCAATATAACAGAAGCTTTACATCTGTTCAGATGTTAAGACACACACACCCACACCCGGCCGAAGCCGGGTCTACCCTGAAAGACAAGAGGAATAAAAAAGCGGACACCAACGACGGGCAAACCGACAGAACAGCGCAGGCGGGGGAGGGAAACAAAACGGACCTCCAAAACCAACCTACACGGAGAAACGGACCTAATCAGCACAGAGCACACACCTAAACCCCATGACACATTACAGAGGGGCACGGGGGATAATTAGGGACCAAATGGGGAGCTAGTTGATGAAGAAAGGTGAAGCAACAAATTATAAAAGGGACTCAGTTCCTAAATGCAAGGTCGTGCGTTACTCCCTCGAAGGGACGGTAGTCGGTCACACCCACAAATGGGCATTAAACGGCGGATCAAGTTCACATGAATTAGGTGCGTAATATATTCAACCTCACCAAATACCAAAACGATCCAAAAAGACCATACCTTCAGGAAAAGGACATGCCTGTAGCCTTACATGCCAGATGGTAGAATCTGATGCCGTCATACGCACTCTCTGTCATAAAAGGCCAGCTTCGACTGTTTCAGCAGTCACTCTTGAGCAGGATTGAAATTTACCGAGGGTTTGCAAGGACAACAGGAGCGGCGAGAAGTTGCAAAATGGTGGTGAACGGAATGGCCGATTGTTTCACTATACTTAAACGAACTACCAGATTAAAATGTGTAAATTCAGAGGTCCGTTTGTTAGCATTCTCCCAAATGGAGTCCCTCCCTTGGGTCCATGCACCATGTGGGAGCCACCATGGAAATCACATAGAACTGGATCATTGAAGTGATCCAATGGGAACTGAATCCCATAAAAACTGGACCGAACCATATGTATATATATATATAATATGTTATATATATAACATATTAATATATATATATATATATAAAAATTTATATTTTGGTATATATATATATACATAAATAGATAGGATTACGGTGGCCACCAGCTGCGACTTAAATGCGCCCAGGTGCACCACCGAAGTCCTGCGGGTACGTTTTCACGGGTACGGGGGAAGTGTCTACGTTGGTCACCGACCCCCCGGGACCCCGGTGCCCCTGCAATATATGAAAAAGGAAGTATAACAGAAGCTTTACATCTGTTCAGATGTTACACACACACACATGGAGAGATATGCTTTCTACATACATACAATACATTACATTACTTTTCATTACATTACATTACAATACATTACATGTATAATTATACATTACATTACATGTAAATACACTACATTACATTTAAATACATTGCGTTACATTTATATGCATTACATTACATTTTTATACATGACATTCATCACATTTATATAAATTGCATTACATTGCATGGCATTGCGTTGCGTTGCGTTGCATTGCATTGCATTGCGATGCATTGCATTGCATCACCATTACATATATACATAAAATTTCACACACACACACACATATATATAATATTATATATATATGCGTGTATTATAGGACATCTCAGCTCTGAACGGTGCTTAAAGCATGGTTCCCCAAGTCCTTGTTGCGTCTTTTGCTTCTTGGCCGGGGGTCCCGTGCCATGGCCTGCAGTGCTGGATGATGTCCCAGGATGATGTCCCAGGAGTCTGGGGTTTCATCCCCAAAAACGAAGGCTGCCAACACCTCCCCAGGCAGGACCATCAAATCCCTTGTGGTTGCATGACAATGACACATCAAAGTTGAGAGCCTTGACCCTCTTCACCTTTGGTTTCACACCGGAGGCATGCCGCCATCACACTGTTGCCAGACATCTCCTGCGAAGTTAGTTGGTCCCAGAGGTTTTCTGTGGAAAAGATTTTGTATGCAAATATAAAAATATAAACATGTAAGTCGAATTTTGAGTTGACCTGATAGTGAAAAGAAGTAAACTCCATGAGTTTCTGCAAATTTTCCATAGTAGGACAATCACTGGAGTAGGCAATCCATTGGGACTTTTTGGGCTCTGCAAGTAGCTCAGGGGGTACATGGGATATAATTGGATATCTTCAGATCAAATCACGTCTGTGCAACCCACATTTGCTTGGCAGGGTTTCTCAAAGGGTTTGCCCTATCACCAGGGGTTGCCACATCACAACCTTAATTTCCACCAATATTCATTGTTCCGTAGGGGCAATCGTTGATTGCTCATTGTTGCATATAGGCACCAGCATGTCGGCGAAATTCAGCTAAAAATCATGAAGTCATTCTTGTCAGGATAATCAGATCGACCCAGGTCCGAATTCTGGTGAAAAGAAATGGGCCCCAATGTCGCGAACCAATGGGAATCATACCCAGGGAAGCAGGAGAGCTCCCCCACAACAAAATACGAGTACCATGCGTCTGGTCCGAACAATCATATGGTATTTCAATGCATTTCATAAGTTTTGATGGTTTTGTTCCATCCCCATATGAAGGTTTCCTAAAAAGGGGATGATACCCCCAAATCATCCAAACTAGATAACTTTTTAGTATTGAAACCCATTGTTTTGGGGATCCCCCATTGTAAGAAACCCCCATATAGAAAACCATCCACCTCCAGTCTCTCATCTGGTGCTCCTGGCACCAGCGCAGTGCAGAGGCTCGGGGACATCGCTTAAAAGCTGCAGAGCTCCTTGGGATGACGTGAATGACTGAGGTGTGTACTTCAAAGTGATCTTCATCCGAGGCAAAGGCACAGAGCGCAGCCACATATAGTGCAAGTCAGTTGTAATTAACCCATATTAATCCCCGATCTA